CAAGTTACCTGCCTCACAGTTTCTAGGTATATTTAAAGCTTTGTATTTCATATAAATTTAATTTTAGTTATTACTAATAGGATATAAAAAAGTCAATAAAACTGGCAAGCTTGAATTAAACGCAAATGTTAATATGGAGCCAATGGATGTGAAAATACAGCAAGCACGTACTAATATTGAGGCCATAAATGAAATTAAGTAATTATTTTGTGTGACTGTATAATTTTATATGATAATTTTTTATTTTCTATACAAATTGTAGGTATACTCAAGAATTACAGAATTTAATGAAATTCCGTGAATACGTGGATAACGTGTTGTATGAATATGTGAATAGTATTCAACACTTAATGCCAAACATCGCAACCAATGCTATACTCCATACGAAACAAGAGCTCAATAATAGACACTGTTATCGACAACTAGTGGACACTTTACACGAGAACTGCTTTAATTTGAATCAAGTATTATAAATTGAATACTATCTAATCTAAAATATAATGTTTTTATTTATTTATTTTACAGAATCCATATCTGTTCAGAAAACTGCAAATATTTGTGAATATTTACGAACAAATGCGTGACTCGAGTGATGCGGACATTGCTGTCAACCGATTGATACAACACTGCAATCGAAATGTTGACTCAAAATATTCACAAATTGTTTAATGAATTAAAACACCTTTAAGTTGTAAATCACAGAAAATAAAAAACTATTAACTACGAACTAGCTTAACCAATAACTATTTAAAAAAAACTATTAACTATTATATTTAACAATTTAATTTTAAAAATATTATTTTAAAAATTGTTTACTAAATGTAATTCTAGCTAATTAATTATTTTACTCTGTTAGTGAATAAAATAGTCAAAAACAAATTATGTAAGTTATTATTATAACTCGTATAAATAATAAATAGTATTATTTATAATAGTATTAATAAAATTTTGAATTATAATAAAAGTGTTTTCAGAAACCATTGTTTCTATTTCATTAAATAACATAAAAATCAATAAAATTTAATTATTTAAATGTACAGTACGAAAATAAATTTTTATTTAAATGATAAATATTACAATATAACAAACTATTGTTTTCATGTTACGATTTTATAAAATCAATAATACTTGTACAACTAATTAACATTAATCAAGCATTAATCATTTTTGAAAACTTTTAAAATATTATATTAAAAATACTCAAATAATTTTATAATCAATTTTAACATTTCTATTGCAGTGTTGTATCAATCGGTTGACAGCAATGTCCGCATCACTCGAGTCAAGCATTTGTTCGCAAATATTCACAAATATATGCAGTTTTGACAACACGTATGGATTCTGTGTTTAGATTATATTACTATTAAATAAAATATATTAATATATATTATCTTAATATTTAATACCTGCCCCAATGCATAGCACTTGTCATTAAAGTATCGACCAGTTTTCGATAGCAGTCCCTATTATTGAACTCTAGTTTGCCATTCAATGCGATATTGGCGTCAATTGCCGGCAATTCATTCACGTATTCCTCGATCTGTTTATCCATTAATTTCCGACGGCTTAACAAACCCTCCAATTCCTCGTATAAAATATTGATTAGATAACTAATAAGGTTGCAGTTATTTCACACACAAAAACTAACTGAATATTAAATGCTGTTAATTAAGCATTCATTACCAAGGTACTGTATTTTATAGTTATCAATTTAAAATTTATAAATAATCTGAATATTTCTGTTTTAAAAAATCACTAATCCTAAATAAAATTATTACATTTTTTATTTAAGCCAATACGTTGCCTTGGATATACGTTTGGGTTGATTATTGACATATTTATTAAATTACTATTATTAGTATTGCAATTAAAAACTTTTACTTGATTTTTGATTTTAAGTTTAGTGAACATTTCGTGACAAATATTAGTGAACATTAGTATTGAGAATCCGAACCAAACACTGAGTACACCGCCGATGAATGTAATGAACTCTTCGAAAGACATTTTCAGTGATATCTCGTATATAAGTGTGGGTTTTGTCGGCAACTCAATGTTAAGTCTATAGGAAATACCAGAATTTTTATTAGAAATAGTTTTCTCAATATTATAGTAATATTGAATGCATTCCACTCTATCGCTGCATTCACTGTCACATTGTGACTCATATTTATCACCAAGATCACGTATATCATAAAACGTTTTATTGTGGTACTTGCGTTCATTTTTATAAACTAACACCACTTGATCTAATGTTGAATTTTGTTCAAGCTGCTTTTTATTGCAACATTTATAAATACACGTTTCAAGCGATTCACCATCATTTATACACCGATTATAGTTAGCACCTTGTTTATATCTCACGATATTTTGTTGAAATTTAATATAGTTAATAACATAACTTTTTTCAAAGCTAATTTTATGACTAGTTTTAAGTTGGTTACGGTAGATTAATTGGTGTTGCGAGTGTATATGAAAATGCATAGTTTTACTGGTTGATTTGTCCAAGGTTACATTGCCAAAATTTAAATCAACAGTCAAAGTTCTAATCAGTTTTTTGGATTTATCACCATGGTATTTGCCATTAATATCGTATGTTAAATTAGCAAGCATGGGAAATAGTGTCAGGCAATAATGAGTTTTACTGATTGATTCAACGTAACTTTTACTTGATAGGCAATAAAAATCCATATGTGTCCCTGATACATTACAAGCAATGAATGTGTTTGGTGAATTTAAAAATTCAAATTGTCGTCCAATTGGTAATCCACTGAAATCGTGAACATTAATATTAGACACATTATTTAACTTGCCCGTGTTAATTACTAAGTTTTTAGCCACGCATATTGAAATAGCTGGGTACGTTATTTTAGCTAAATTATTCTCGTACTTGACATTAGTGGTGGTTTCGTATGAAAAGTATAATGAACATATTTTATACGTTTGATACACACAACCAATTAAACATAACACCCTGTACAAAATTGAAATTTTGTTAGATAATATTAGATCCATACTTAAAGCATTTGAAGGTTTTGTTAAATATAAATAGTTTTAATGTACATTGCTATTGATATTGAAATATATAACATATTTTTGTTAAGTGCTTTCATTTATGTCAGGTGAATTGAAATCAATATTACATAACATGTATATATGAGTAAATAATTTAATTTTAATAGTCTATAATTAGTTAATTAGCTATTATGGTTATATAGATATGTTATGAAACATTGTTATGTATATTAAAAAACTATATTAATTTTAGCATGTTGTAACAATATGCAAAATATCTTAATAATGCAAATTAGGTAAATTAAAATAATTTCATAATTGATATGTAAATGAATTATTCAAATCATAATGCAGTCAATAAATCCTTAATATTTATATATTATGAATAAATAGTTTATTAATGTACTGTATATTACAAATATTAAACTAATTTAACTAAATTCATTAATTATAATGAAAATAAAAAGCACTCCATCAAAAATACATTTCATAATTTTATTGCTGAAATATTAACTTATTATTTGAAAAATAAAATTATACAAAAAATGAAGTGCAAAGTTTTATAAATAATTATTTTAACAAAAATTCATTATTATTTATTGTTATTCTTAATACATTAAACTAGTTACAAAATAAAAATTTAATCTATTATTGGTGTACTCTAGGTATTTACATTATACAGTGTGTTTCACCATGGACCTCCGCCTTTTAATTGAAATATCTCAAAAACTAAATTAGATAGCAAGGTACTCTCGACGGTTTCTAAAAC